CAACCAACCAGAAAAACCTTTCCTGAAAAGGCTGTTCCTGAAATATGGTACCATGGAAAAGCTATATATTCACAATGGGTAAGGAAGGCCAGTTAGCACCTATGGCTTCCATCACAGCAAATGTGTCACAGAATTTGCACTGCTCCTTCACAGAGGTAAGAAGGAAAACCAAAGCCTTTGAAAACCCCATACAAATAGGAAAGTAAACAGCAGCTGTGGATCAGCAGAGAGACTAGCGCTAGCATGAAGCAAAAAGGAAAAGTGATCAAAAAAACCCAACCTGGACTGAAGGATTGATTAAAGTGCATGAAGTGTTCAGTATTTGGGACAGCAATTCCTATGGCACTCTGAAGAAATGAACTATCTGAGCTCTATTCTTTAGGGCAGGCAAACAAGCTTCACAGAGCTACATGATCTGTGAGAAATAGTAAACCGTCACGCAACTTGATCAAAATGCTCTTCAGTAGATGTCAATTTTAGCCTCAGTTCCACAGAGATGATAGATTTCAGGTTTTCCATTGTTAACAGAAACATTCCCTGGATGCAACATCGATGGTAGGTGGATGGGTGGCCTAGATTATCTTAATGACTCCATGACTACATGCAAGCCTTCTACTGATGTTCTGCTGGATGATGCAGGAATCACTTACAGGATTTATCAGCATTCACCATTCCCCTTGCAACTCAACATTCCAGTGGCCTTCCTACTTCACAGAGTTAAAAAAAAAAAAGAAAAGAAAATCTTTTTAAGGAAAGGTATTATCCTTTCTTCCAGTAAGTTTCCAGGGTAAAAATGCATTGAGTAGCCCATCACTGGTCCCTGACAATTTGAGAAAGTAGAGCCACTCCTTATTTGTCTCACATCCTATTTAAAACTCCAATGATTAGATAGCCATATACTTGAGGTAGAAAAAAAAATACGGTACAACATATTTGACAGTATCATAACAGATTTTTTTTTTGATGAAAAAGATCTTTCTGAAGTGCTCCCACTGGTAACACTGCTCAAACTTTTGAGAGTCTTCAAATTATTACCTCCGTCTTTGAAAAAATGATGGACTTCCAAACCTGTTCAGCTGTACTGCAGCCTACAGAAATTAATGATCAAACCTGCTATTCTGCCCACTTAACAACTGGCTTCCAGTTGGAAACATAATAGTTCTTTGCCTGCTTATCATACACAGATTCCTGATCTTTCCTATGTTGTTACTTAGCCATTCCTAGAGGAAGAAATCCAGGAACCTGGAATAGAGAGTGGGATGAACAAAGGGCCAAGGGCAAGATTATAGCAGCTGAATGGTCAAAGTGTCTCTCCGTAAACAGAGAAGAGCAGAGCAGTAGCCAGATGAATACATTTCAGGCTCCCAGGGGAAGGTGTGCTTCTGTTAGTTCTGAGCAAGAAAAAATGGAAAATTCCACCATGTGTCAGCTATTGCTCTTGGATAGAGAACTTGTCTGAGAAGTGTATCCAAATTTCACGTTAACAGAAAGTCTCCTCAGGAGGAATTTAGCTCAGATGTAGTAGGGTCACAGTCTAATTCCTGTGCACAAGTGCTTCTGTCTATCAACTGCAGAGGATGCAACACTTGAAGATATCACTGTCACAGAGATGAAACACTTCCCATTAAGTGTAAGTACTTGAGGAAATACCTTCTTTCTGTACACCCTGCATAGGAGCACATACATATTTAGCAGCAGACACATTGTGTCTACTGCTATACATCAGCAGTGACCTAGTACTGAAAAACTGATGGTGCATAACAGATGCGAGCTACAAGGATAAAGAAATCCACACAAGACACCCAAGCAAATCAGGTTTAGTTGTTTCACTTAATACACTAGGCATGCTAAACTGTAGGATTGGCAATACACTTGAGTTACCAGGACTCGAGCCAGTGTCAAAGGTTGTTGATATGGATAAAAATAGAGACAAGTGTCTCATCAACAGCAACAGTTCAGGTTTTGAACTTGTCTCTAATCCTGATTACCTAATTTTCAATTTCATTCCTCCCACCTGCCCAATCTTGAGACAAAGGCAGTAACCACATGTTCTAGATAAGGGAGGCACACAGCTTATGCATGCTGTTATTTCTCAAACAGCTAGATGATATAAAGCTTATGCAATTAAGTTTTTAACTTTAATACATCTCCTATAAGAACTTTAGTTGTCCTGAGCAGCTCTGGCAAAAAGCAAACAGTCAGCTTTCCCAGCTAGCTAACACCACCAATAACTGCTGTGCTCCAACATACACCCCTTCCACATGCCTTTACACACACTGGTTTCTGCCTTGGTCCACTAGTATCCAGGTAAATATCCTTGATTGTGCATAAAAAAAACCATGCCTTAACAGAAGGAATAACTTCAGTGGAACATGAAGCACTGTACATGGCAAGAAATGTCGCAGTAGAAATGCATTTAGAAAAGAGCAAAAAGAAGGAAAACTGGAAGTGTGTAGCTTCAGTCAAGTAGACAAGCATTTCTCAAATCCCTGCCCATGCCCTGATCCTTTCAGTAAAATAAAGATGTAAAAGGCAGGCATCTTACCAAAATGTCTCCTAAGTCTGCAGTAAAAACATTTAAAGATAAGGAAAATAATTTTCCAATCTTACATAAACTCAGCTAGGTGAGGTCAGCTGTGGATCAAATCTCACACTACTGAACAGCAGAACAGGTGATAACGCCTACAGTTGTATCCAAGACAGCCCCACTGGGTCATAGCGCTAACCTTGTCCCATACATCTGTGCTACATTATCCCACCTCACTCAGTAAGGCAGTCTCTCTGAACCAGCTCACCAGGTCTGTAGGAGAACTCGAACCTGCTGTCTGCATACAAACCTTCCACGAAGTCTGAAGTTGTGTATACACGGTGCTTGGTATTGCTGTCCCCCTCCAGGTTGTTCAAATTCCCAACAGCTAACTCGATCACCTCGACCAGCTCATCTCGCTTATCCTTCCTCACAGGTTTCTCTTCTGGGTGGCGCGTCAGCCCTGTCTCCAACTGGTACACCTTCTGTAGAGTAAAGCTCTCAAAGGGTACAGCTGCATACTCTGTGGACAGCTTAACACCACTGTGCACCTCTGCTCTGTCTATTTGGGCACGGAGAAATGCCAGCAGATTAACCTGGGCCTTCTCTGGATTACTGTGGTCAAGGTGAATGTACAAGGGGTTTGGGTTATGGTCCTGCATGCTCTTAAGCTGCTCGCTCTTGCCCTGGAGCTCAGCCTTCAGCTGGGCAATTTGCTTCTTCAAGCTGATGATGTAGTTGCGGTGCTGCTCTTCTCGCTCCTGCAGAATAGCTTCATATCCCTCCTTTGCAGTCGGACTGTGAACCCTGGGCAAGGCAAGCTGCTCAGTATCACCCTTAGGTGTGCAAGCCAACATATAAACGATGGACACAGAGCAAAAGGCCACCACCAGCAGGCCTACAAGCCGAGGGACTAGTACAAGAAATCCTCGTCGGGGCATCATCTCTCAAAAAGTAGAGTCTAACCCAACAAACGTACCAGTTCTTACACTCATGCAGTGCCACAGAATCCCCTGGACTTGGAGTACTTTTACTCAGATTCATGTATGTACTGGCAAGCAACCAGCTTGACAGTTCTCTTGAAATGTGTGCTCTGCCCACATATTAGGCTCTCTCTGATGTTTACCCAGCAGGATCAAAAGATAAACAGCAAAGCAGAAAGGACACCTCCTGATCCTCATGGCAACGCCTACACTGCTACAATGTGGCTGGTGGCTGATGGAGACTGAGGACCTGTAAGACAAATAACAAAGACAGTCATTCAGGCACATTACAATTTGGTCATTCAGTCCAGATGCTTGAGAGCATTCTAATAATTTATTGTCGCTTCCCAGTCACTCTGGTAGATCTCAGAGTCATGAAGTGTTTAGACTAAAAAGGTCCTAAGATCATTACACAGGCAGTTCTGTGTGCACAAGCTTACCTTTTATCAACATGACTATGACAACTGCCAACCAGAAAATAGTCCAGGTCTCCAAGTCTGTCATGCTTTAAAATTGCTAGGAAGTCATTATCTGTTACTAATACTTTCCAGTCTGACGTTGAGGTGCTCAGCTTATCTGAGCAATGCTGGCCCTCCGAGTTGTCGAATCCTGGAGCACTCAAATTTTGAAGACAGTTGGTCCCATAGTTAAGACATATATTTCAGCTTCCAGGGACATATTTTCCAAAACATCAGATTGCAAATGTGTTCCTGTTTAAACATGTGAAGCTTCATTTGGAGTGTAATTAGAGAACCAATAAACTAGAAGGCCAACTGCTAAAACAAAGACTTAGTTTGACATAACCTACCAGATGCTCACATGAAACAGAGAACTAGGGATGGGGTTTTCCAGGAGCTTTCAGATTAAGTCTCACTCAAAAATCAGGAGCAGCTTTGTCACCTAGTAGGCTATCATTACTGCACACTATCCTCACCTTTTAAGGTACTTTTCCATTACTCATAACATGGAATAAGCCTTGCAACAGTGCCTGATGCTACTGTGTTTACCACACATGCACTCTATGCCTACGAGTGAAGACCACTGAGAAGGTTTAAGGGAAAACCAGCACATGCATCTTTAAATAAGAGAATCTAAAACTCAAAATCACCTAAGACTACCTTCAGTTAAAGCAGGAAACAAAAATTAGATGACTGAACATCAATACCGATCTAGCTATAAACTGCATTAAAACAGTTAAGCTAACAACACTACCACTGGGATTTTAAAAATTCCTCAGTCATGGCACAATTCCATACCTACGAAAAGACTTTCATCATTTGTTTGGCTGACAGACTTAGGCCAAGGCTGAGTAACATCCTAAATCACTCTGTGACACTGCATTGTTAGACCTGAACATAAATTAACCTCCAGACAGTCTCCCTTTGGATGCATACATGACATTATGACACAGGTTTTTGAAACAGATGTGTAGTCTTGTTAGTCATACATCCTTCCTGGCAGACCCTTAAGTAAAAACAACTTAAGAGAAAATGTGCTTTTCAGAGTTATTTCTAATCTTGAGCCAAAGTCTTTTGTAAGACTTGATCAACTTCTACATCGATTTTCCCTGCCCAACACCAGTGTCTTGCTGGACTATTATTCTCTATGCAGGAATTATCCAGGGGTATTCTTGATCTTCTAACTATTTTCAATATTTTAACAGTCCACAAAGCTGCTAGAAAAAAAGAGAGAAGGAATTGAGGGGGCTAGAGTGAGATACAAAAATACTACCGTGTTTTTCCTCAATGAAACGCTGAACAGCTATTTAGTATTCACAAGATTCTCCGGAAAACATCAGTGTTTTCAAAGCAAGAATCACTGATGAAGAAAATACTCAAGCAGGAGGAAAAAGGATAGGATGATGTTGGCATCCTTACCTTTTTGCAGTGATCTCCTCTTCGGCACATCTTGGTCTGCCGCAGCTATTTCTCAGCTTGCCACAGTCATCGCTTGTTTATCTCCCTTCTTACGTCCTTCCCAGAAAACACACTCTCTATAAAAAACACCGTCAGCCTCACAACACCTCTTCATCACTTTCACATTTGCCAGCTGCCTGCATCTTCAGTCTTCCTCCTGCGTGGTGAAAGGCTGTAGTGGAGACGCTTCCTATGGATGCACTATAAAAGTTGGCTTCCTGCAATGCAAGAAGAGCTTGTCAAAGCTGGGCATTTCTAACTGTACAACAGATCTGGCTAGAGGACTGCAAGAAGGTAGTGAGACAGAGTCAGGAAGTGGTAAGATGTAGTACATAAAACACTGCTGCGCTTGTATGCTTCACTTCACACAATTAGTCCATTGACAGAATTGGCAGAAGCTGAACATCACTGAAAGGATTAGTTGTGCTAACATGGTATAAACTGAAATTACATCTCAATGCCTCAGATAAACACACGATTTCTATAAACAAAATCAGATTCAGGTTTTGACTAAAGAGCTCTTCAAACTTTGACCTTAAAATACACATGCATTTATAGCTATGTTTGCTCAAAAATACTGGCTCTCTTTTGAGGATACTTCTTTCCCTTTATAGTTTTCTAGTTTGCAATCTCACTTACCAAAGAAGCCTCTTGAAACACATTTTAGGACAATAAATTAACTGAGTTGCTCCATCCTTTGAAACACTGTTCTCATAAAAAGAAATTCAAGCCATGAGGATTTCTCCATCAGAATTAGAGGCATCCTAACAACAAGCACTCATTATTTGCCCCCTACTGTGAGAGTGATCTTATTAGGTTGAACTGGTGGCTTCGGTGACACCGCCTTGTAGGCAGCATTTGACACTTAAATATAGAGATACTACTGTACCGCTGTCTCTAAGACATGCTTGTGGAAGCAGCTCTCATCTGTACTACTGCCAAAAAAAGCAAATTAAGTCAATACCAGAAATGGTCGTGGCCACAATCTCTTAGCTACATATACAGTACCAGGAAAACAGGGATAGGAACTCCTAACAACCATCCTGTTGATTTCACCAGACCTACAGTTTCACACTGAGAGCCTGAGATGAAGCAGAGACAAAATGAAGTGCCAGATTTTTCCAGGAACTGACAATAATGCCTCTGTATTTTACAGCAGTCAGCTGCATCAAGTAGTGTTAAGCTTAAAGGAACTTTAACGAAAGCACAGCAGTTAGTCTGATAGCCAGGGAAAAGAACCTAAGTTCAAAAAAAGCCTCTGTTTGCAAAAACATCTTCAACCTCAGCTCAACCTGCTAGCTCAGCCAGAGATCAGCCCAGCTCACAAAGGTGCTTTTGAGATGTTTTCAGGGAGTCTGGGCCCCAAAAATTGTTTAAACAAAGCACTAAGTTCTGTTACTGAGGTGGAAACTGCTCTGTACGACAGAGGGTGCTGCACTCAGCCCTAGGAAGTGGCAAAATTTAGGAAAGTTGGCTTGAAATTTTGGATGGCAAGCACTCAGTTACTCACCACTATCTGGATTTTTAATGGACTGCAGAGGTGCAATAAATTTATCTCTGCTCTGAAAGGCAGTGTGTCTCAAGCCAGAACTTTTGGCTCTCAAAAATCCGAGTGTGAACTAATGCAGAAAGGAAACTCAAAATAACATAAGCAATCTCTACACTCTCCTTAATCATTACATAGAGGACTGAAAGCACAGCAGAAGAACGGAGTTAGCAGTGTCCCAGCACATACAGCGTGGGCAAATGCTAAGTGACTCCTTGTCTTCACAAACTTTCTGCCACAGTTCCCTATCACAGGTGTAACTGAGACAGGCTATTGCCATTTTTGATTTTAAACGCTTACAATTTTTTTTAAAAGAATATGGTGAATGGCAGAAGCCGCAATTTCTTTTCACGTAGGCATTTGAAACACTTTCACTGAACAGCAGCATACGCTATTAGAATCATATTACCCATCAAAATGAGCTGCAGGGAGAAGGAAACAGATGTTTCACGCAGACTAAGAGTCTTACAAAAAAAATAATCAAAAGTACTGCAGCCACTTGGCATTTGCCTTGAGCTTTTGAATTACAAGGACTGTGCATAACACTGAACAAATTATTTTAAATGTTAGGATGAAGAAAAAGCCCTTACCCTCCTAACCTTCTTTATTAGATTGAAACCTAGACCACTCGTTACCATCGAACATGTCTTTGGGATTAGAATTCAGTCAACGTTTACGATGCAAGTAAAAGGAATGCAAAAATAAATCATCTCCTTAATGCTCAATCATGATTTCTCACTACTTTTTTTAGCACCGGGCATCTCATCTTAATCATCTATCCAGTGCTAAATTATACAAAAGGCTGGAGAAAGAAAAGATCCTGTCTGATAAACTGACTAGATGTACCTTCATAATCTCAAATTCCTGTCAGAAAGTGTCATGAGGCATTGGAACACTCTGCCCAGGGAGGTGGAGTCACTGTCCTCCGGAGACATTCAAGAAACATGTAGATGTGGTACTGAGTGACATCGTTTAGTGGCTATGGTGGTGAAAGGTTGATGGTTGGACTAGAAGATCTAAGTCATCTTTTCCATCCTTAATGACACTACGAAATATATCCTATAAAGTATATAGTCTATGTATATAGTCTATAATGAACGGTTACAACCTGATTATCTCGCAAAGCAGTTCCTATAACTATTACATGCAGTCTTGAACCAAGAAACCCTCAAAAACACCAACAGTAATAGAATTATCAATTCTCTGTTTGTCAGCACGCCGGAGGATCCCCCATGCCTCTAGTTTCATTGCTTCCCTCTTATCAAGGTAAATCAGTAACTTTCCATAACTGCAGGAAACCAGCTAATAGAAGAAGGACAGTCTGCAGCCAGCTAACTGCTAGGAGTTACTGTCCTACTTTACTACAATGTCTAATTCAGCAGCTGCTCTGTATAGACGATTTCCAGAAAAAACTAAACACAGTTCAAACACCACACTAAACTGCAACAACTTCTGAGGTAGCTCAGAGTCAGCATAATAAGACACATACGAAAAATATATATTTCCTCATTAGAACAAGCAACAGAGGAGGTTTTCTTATCCACATAAGCCTGGGCATAAAGAAATGCTGTTCCTTTACTCTGCAGTGTTTACATACATGCACTCAATAACGTACACAGGCAAAAGAAAAATGAATGCCACCACAGGGATGAAGAGTAGCTTCTTGTAAGAACACGGATGACCACAGACTACAAAAGTAGCACAGGTCAGCAACAGAAGGGCCTGTTAAAATGAACGGACCTATAGCTATGTATACACACCATGTATGTTTATGCACCTATATGTACACCATGAATGTCTGCAGGTTAAGACCTATTTCTTCCATATGCCAAGTGATTTTATGAAATCTGGAGTTCCGTACACGTGCATGATGTGTGATGTAAAAAAAAAAAAAAAAAAAGGAAAAAGAATCAGTGAAGGATTCTGCGTGCTTCTAACTAAGCACGAGTTATTTTACCCACAGATAAAAATGTATGAGCTTGTGTGACTAAGGTGGGTCCAGAAAAAGGCAGACTAACAAGACTGAGCTATATTTGTTTTGTCAGCACTCTGTGTATAAACACTCTGACATTCAGATGCAATCACACCAGCTTCTCAGCTGGAGCTGCTAAGTGCAACAATACAGGTCCACTGCATTGAGAAGAACTGTTAAGTAATAAAGTACAGTAACAATGACAAGTAACAAAAAAAAAAAAAAAAAAAAAAAGGAAGGCTTTCTACCTTTAATATTCTATTATCTATGTGAGCAAGAAATTTTTACATTAACTTACTTAGCGATAAAATATTCCAATAGGTTAGATGGTCTACTTTGCTTTAATTTAACAAATAGCTGTTCCAACTTCCACTTCACATCAGGTTTTGTGTGCAAGAATGTACACAGGCCCACAAAGCCCATCAGTTTCGGTCAAATGTCTCTAAGACTACATCTCTCATTTTCTGAAAAATTACATCACATTTCTCACTCCTTTAAGCATTCCAAGTGCTAATGGACACATGCCCAGCTAATTCAGTTTCTAAGATTTCATCTCTGAGTCTCAAATCATAGCAAAAATGGGATCTAAGCTTCCAAGGTCTTTATAGATCACTGCAATTCAAACAAGTAGACTGATCTACTTATTAACAGCCACAATGATGATTTAGGTTGTTACCAGTCATCAAGAGACTGCAGTTCCCTCATTGAATTCTTCTACTTTCTGGCACTGAAAATGTATTTTTCGACAGCGAATGTAATTGCAGTTATTCCAGACCTGTCAATAGCTCTTGAAAAATCAGCCCTCCAGCTAGAGAAGTGTTAAGTTCTAAGAGTTCATTCAAGAGGCATCCTGGTTCCTTAACCTAGAGCTGATTGATGACAAAAGTAAAGCCAGTTTCCCCTGCCAGTAAAAGCCAGGGTTTTTTTTTCCATCTTTTGTTACACAAGAGAAGTGCAACCCACAGTCAGGTCAGCATTTCCTGAGTGGTTCCACAGAGCATAGCTCTTCACAACAACAGCTTCACACTACAATTAGAAGCAAAGCACATTTTATGCAAACTTCTGAAATAACACATGCAATATGAACTTAGAGGATAACACTTTTTTCCTCACTTTATCAGAGAGTTATCTCGCTCAGTTTAATTTAACAATTCATGCCTGAAACTTGATGCAAACTCAACTTTTTTTCCTTATACAGCATAATATCATTAAAGTAAATAGTTTCCTGAAATAATATAAATTTACAAAGCTTTTCAGAAAACTAGAAAACACACGATTTTCATAACCTACCAGAATATTTTAAGAAAGATTTCCTTAGGAGATGAAGCTTCTTGCTATTGAGTCTTTGTTTCTGTTCATACGGAAACCTGCCTGCAAATGATACCTTTAAAAAAAATAAAAAAAGATTGGCTTGAGCATGTGCTGGCACAGTTATGTGAGCTAATGAAATAAAAGCAGGAATTGCTGCTATGTCGTTACAGATTTCTCTCTTCTCCTCCTTTTAAAACAGTTTTCTGTAGAATCTAAAATCATGCCAATTTTAAGAAGGCTGTTTAAGTCAGAGAAAGATATCCCCACCCCCACGCCAGTATCCTCTTGCCTGCCAGTTTTCTAACCCATGAAAAATGACATGTGGCTGTGTTCTGTAGTCTCTTAAGAGTACGTTCTGTTCCATCCACTCCTGCTAAGGGTTTTCTCTA